ACTTCCTTGGGCGGCCCCGGGGCCCGCAGCGAAGGCCCTTTATGAAGGCCAAGAGCGGAAAAAAAACGCGTGCGCCCGGACTCTTTCGAAACGTTCGATCTATGGGATCTCCTGAGGTCCGGGCCCTTTGCCCCGGGCCGTTTTTGCATATGGAGTCGCGCTTGGCGATCCCAGGGCCCGCCGAGGGCTCGCAGAGGCAGAAAACGACGCGCAACCTTCGCGTGGGAGTTCCCAGTGCGTTGACGGTCGGGTTGGGGGCCGCGCGTTGGCCGACGAAGCTGAAACGAGAAAAGATCCGTCCCAGAGCGTTCCGGAACGCTCTCTGAGCGTTCCGGAACGCTCTGAAAAGGGCCGCGCGCCCAAGAAATCTTCCAGAGCCGCCGGATCTAAGAGATTCTCGATTGATCCTCGCACGATTTTGCCCTCGTCCTGACCTCGCCCGAGGCTTGTGCAGTTTTGATATCAAACGAGGAAGGCGACCTGGAGCATCGGGTCGAGCGACAGGGGGGATAGGGAACGACAGTTCCAAGATGCCCCCCCAGACGCAAAAACATTGATTTCCCAGGGAAGCATGGCTTCCCCGCGGCGAGCTGATGGAAACTGCAGCGTGTCCCAGGAGCATTTGGTTGCTCGTTTCCAATGCGCGTGCCTGAAGCTTTTGCGAAGCTCCTTCGAAGCGTTCCAAGGGCTCATGCGAAGAAACGTCTACTGCAAAGTCTTGGCTTCGTCTTAAACTGACGAAGTGGTCCCCCGAAGCCCCGACCCTTTCCCCGAGACCAACTTTTCATCCCGAGTCGTTTTTCCGCGGCCCCGGGGCCCGGCGAAGGCTCCCAGAGGCCGACAATTGCCAATCACTCCCCGTTGTGATTTGTTTGTGTAGGTGTGTGTGTGTGTCTGTGTGCGCGCGTGCGTGTGCGTATGTGTGTGTGTGCGTTGTGTGTGTGTGCGTGGTATGTGCGTATGTGCGTGTGTGTGCGTGTGTGTGTGTGTGTGTGTGTGTGCGTGTGTGCGTGTGTGCGTGTGTGCGTGTGTGCGTGTGCGTGTGCGTGTGCGTGTGTGTGTGTGTGTGTGCGTGTGCGTGTGTGCGTGTGTGCGCGTGCGCGTGTGCGTGCGCGTGCGCGTGCGCGTGTGCGTGCGCGTGCGCGTGCGCGTGCGCGTGCGCGTGTGCGTGCGCGTGTGCGTGTGCGTGTGCGTGTGCGTGTGCGTGTGCTGTGCGTGTGTGTGTGTGTGTGTGTGTGTGTGTGCGTGTGTGTGTGTGGGTGGTGTGTGTGTGCGTGTGTGCGGTGTGCGTGTGTGCGGGTGTGCGGGTGCGCGTGTGCGTGTGCGTGTGTGTGTGTGTGTGTGTGTGTGTGTGTGTGTGCGTGTGCGTCTGTGTGTGCGCGTGTGTGTGTGTGTGTGTGTGTGGGTGTGTGGGCGTGTATGTGTGCGTGTGCGTGTGTATAAGTATACGTTTCGTTTGACGCGAGCTTAGGAAGCCTCCTGCTGGGCTTGGTGTGTTTGTGTGATCTGCCGGTCGTCGTCTGAATGTCAGGAGGCCTCGTGCCTGGGCGGGGGCGCGCCGCCGCGTGCGGCAGCGGGCGCGGCGTTGTGCGTCTCCCCTTCTGACCTTCCAGAGTGTTCAGAAATAGACCTTCAGACCTACAGAGCGATCTGGACTGCTTACAACATCGGCTGCATTTTGGGTATCGAGGTCCTGGTGCTTTCGCATCGGAAGCTTGAACATAATCCCAGGAGTTTTAATTTGGTCTCCCGGGGAAGCAACGACAAATGTATACACCAGGGTCCCGTATGCACCAGTATCCGCTTCCCTGTGCGAATTTCAGGGCAGGGCCGGAAAAGAAAAGGCGCCGGTGTGTAGCATTCGGTCCCCTACAATACTTGGACTCCCTAAACCCTCGATTGGGTTTTAGATCTCGATGCCCTGCGGTTTTCCAAAGTTCTCGAGGAAGGTCTGTGCCCCGCGGACCTCCCAGGCGGCGCATGCGAGCCGCCCACCCCCCCACGCTTCTGCCGGGCCTCCGGGGGCCGTCCAGGACGATCGGGCCGGGCGAAAGGGGGGGGGATTGGGAAAGGGGGGGTTACAACATTTGCTGAATGCGGCTGGCTTCGTCCTCGCCGAGGGGCCCATGCCTCGATGCATAGCCGCCTCCTGCGCCAGCAGGGCGCCGGGGAAGCCAGCTATACGTGAGCTGATTCTCAACCCCCCCCTTTGCTGTTCCCCCCTGTCGCCTGACCCGAGACGAGCGGCCTTGGGGGGCGCGGGAGCGCACAGGCCCGCACACGCGGGGGGGGAAGGAGGCACGCCGGTCGCTGGAAGCAGGCAGTCCTGGAGAGTGCCAGGTCCCAGTCTGCTTCAATCGGGGGAGCGTAAGACCCGGGTCTGCCAGGACTCGGGTTCGCCATCGGTTTTTTGACGACCGCGCCTCGGATTTTGACGAGGAGGAGTTTCGTGGGACGTCTGCAGCGGGAGGCCTCGTCAAAGTGCAGGCTCGGCCTCGTCATTTTTTTGACGACCTCGTCGGGGATTTCCGAGTCCCCCGCACCCAGGTCTTACGTCCCCCTGATTCAAGCGCCTTCCTACCTCGAGAGTCGATGCGCCTGTCTCGTGTTCTGTGATTCTCGGTGGGGGCCTGCACCGGGTCTGCCTCATCCGCCCTCCTGCTTCACGCTTGTGCCTGCTTCTCGCGACCGACGTGCAGGGGGGACACCAAGACCCCCTCGCGCTGTGGAGAAGTCGCGCCGGATGCCAGATATGGTCGCGTCGCTGAAAAAATCACGACGGGGAGTTGTTGGCCAATCTTGGGCGCTGGAACCGTCAAAAAGCAATTCAGAATGAAAAGCCGGTCTCGCGGAAAGGGTCAGGACTTCCGGAGACCGCGTATTGACGCAATCAGGACGTCGCATGTCTGTGAATGGGGGGATATGCAATGCGGGGTGATGATTAAGAAAGAACCAGGGGACGTGTTTACGCGGCGGTGCCCAGGATGATGATTAGACCGACCGCCCCCGTGCTGGACGACTTTTTTTTGGATCGTTCCCCCCCCCGCTCTCGTCGAGCGCGCGCCTGAAAAGTTGACAGGCCAGACGCAGCCGAAGCAAAGCGGAAGCCGAAGATTTGGAAACTATTTTGTCAGTCGTTCCCCTTGATTTGTTTCTTGACTTTGATGTTCCGCAAATCGTGGGCAATGATAAAAGGGGAATGCGTAGGGAGGGGTGCATGGCGCATCGACCCCCCATCGCCAATTGATCGCCGACAGGGCACTGATAGCTCCGCCCCGCCCAGGAAGGTGTGGATTGGCTATCGAGGCGCATCGCCGATCCATCGGCGATGCGTCGCCGACTCCAGGTCGATGCTTCCCCCCCTGTGCCAGCACCCCCCGGATCGTCGCCCCTCAGCTCAGGCCCGCACGTGAGGGGAAACGTCGTCACATCTCCAGAGACGGAGTTGGGTCTGGTTCGCACGTCGGCCCTTCAGGATCAAGGGCTGTTTGTGTCCTGCGTTTCGCGTCCCATATCCTTTGTCCTCGAGGGGAAACGTCACATTTCCAGAGACGGAGTCGGTGCTGATCAGCACACGTCGGCCCCTCGGGATCAAGGGCTGTTTCGTGCCCCGCGCTCCGCGCCCCCTAGAGCCTTTGTCCTCGGGCAGTGTGTGGCTCTCTGAAGGGTCCTTGGTGCCCTCTCCGTGTGTCCCCTCCAGGCAGGAGCGACCGCCTCTGTGGACGCCGGTCCCGGCGGGGGAGGGGGGAGGGCGGGGGAGGGGGAAGGGTGGGGGGAGGCAGGTGGAGGGAGGAGGAGGAGGAGGAGGAGGAGGAGGAGGAGGAGGAGGAGGAGGAGGAGGAGGGGAGGAGGAGAAGGAGGGAGGAGGAGGAGGAGGAGGAGGAGGAGGAGGAGGAGGAGGAGGAGGAGGAGGAGGCCTGGCCCTTCGATCGTTGCGCCGGTTCTGCTTACAGCGGGCGATGCTGTTTTCCTTTGTCGGGCCCCAGAGGCCTCGCGGATCGATGCGGCTCGAGGAGATCAGCTGACCGGTGGGGTCCAGGGCGCTCGGTGGGCGTTTTCCTGATGAGGTTGCAGTCTGCTCGTGGCATCGGATCCCAGGGATGATGAAGACCAGCAATCACGCGAGTGATGATGATAACGCTAAGAATGCGAGTAAGCATAATTCTACTACGACTGACGATGCTACGAGGAAGAATGCGACTCAGAAGAATAACTCGGGCCGGACGAAAGGGGCGGATAGGAAAAGGAGGGGTTACGAAACCTGCTGCCTGTAGCTGGCTTCGGCCCCACCGAGGAACCCATGCCTCGATGCGTGGCCGCCTCTGGCGCCGGGAGGCGCCGGGGACATCAGCTACGTGAGCTGATTCTCACCCCCCCCTTTGTTATTCAGGAGGGAAAAAATCACACAGACACAAGTGATCGTCGATCCCCAAGAAAATATCGGAAAATATGGGAAGTGGGCGGGAAGACAAAAACCCAGAAAATATGTGAAACCATGGGGACTATTTTTATTTGTGTGTGTTTTTGTTGCGTGTTCTTGGGCCCCTTGAGTTATCACTCCCTTTCGCCCAGCCCGAAATAGCGCATTCGACCATGAGCTTGAGACAGATCGCTCCAGAGCGTTCCGGCAGGCTGTCGGGGCGTTCCGCCGCGCTCTGGAGCGGCCGAGGCGCGCGAAGGTGCATCTCCCGGCCCCGCCGGCTCTCGAGCTTCCCGACTTTGATCTCTCTCCTCCTCGTCGTCATCCTCCTCCTCCTCGTCCTCCCCCTCCTCCTCCTCCTCATCCTCCCCCTCCTCCTCCTCCTCCTCCTGCTCCTCCTCCTCCTCCTCCTCCTCCTCCTCGTCGTCATCCTCCTCCTCCTCCTCCTCCTCCTCGCCCAACGCCTCCTCCTCTTTCCTCTCGCTCCTCCCCCTCCGCCTCCTCCGAACGGGGGCCTCCATTATTTGCCTGCGTCCTAGCCGCCTCGCAAGTGGATGGCCAGTTGGCGTGCTCCTGCCAGGGTGCCCTCATCTTCGCGATCGACCAGCGGGGCCTCCTGAGCAGGTGGGCGCTGGCGAACATCGGGGTCGCGGCCTCCTGAGCAGGTGGGCGCTGGCGAACATCGGGGTCGCGCTCCCTGGCCATCGGGCCGCAGTCTGCCGGCGGGGAGGAGGAGGAGGAGGAGGAGGAGGAGGAGGAGGAGGAGGAGGGATTAGGAGGAGGAGGAGGAGGAGGAGGAGGAGGAGGAGAGGAGGAGGAGGAGGAGGGTAGGAGGAGGAGGAGGAGGAGGAGGAGGAGGAGAGAGGAGGCAGGAGGAGGGGAGAGTGGGACCAGGGTAGGAGCGGAGTAGGAGGAGGGAGTAGGAGGAGGAGGAGGAGGAGGAGCGGGTAGGAAGAGTAGTAGTAGTAGTAG